GACTGTAGACAAACCCTGCCTTGTTCCTTTTACTCAGACTAACAAAAATAGCAATCTCGCGTCAGTCTAACACAAACTGCACACATTTAGCTCATTTTACCTCAGAGCAAGTTCAAACTAGACTAAAGGCCTTTGAAAATAGATCATAAGTTTACAACGTCACAGTTATGCACAAGGTCAGAGTTGCAGGTGTCCACCAAGGTTACAAATGCAAAATATCCTAAGAAAACCCTGCCAATTCTTCACTTGTCAAGTCTGCTGATAAAAAGCTATGTCTCAGAGTTTGTCGCACCAGCCACTGTGCCCCCTCCCTCTGGTCCTGAGACCTTGGAACCTTGTGTTACCATGGTAATGGCTCTGCTCCTTATTGTCTATTCTAGGAATGTGCTATGACCTTGAGAGTTTTGAAACTTTTCTCAGGATTGCAAGGAGTCTCCTGTTAGAAATGTAAGGATAGTCAGACAAGAGAGGAGCTAAGAATGAGAGCTGAAAAGAAGCTGTAGACTTAGAGAAGCAGGAGAATAAAGAGACATGCAACAAAGTATGATATGAACAGATTCATTCCTTCACCCTCAGATGTACATCCAGTCAGTAAAGCATTACGTAGTCTACCCCTGGGGGTCCTCATATCCCCCTTGTTTAACAAGCATCTCCTTTAGAATGCAATTAAATCTTTCAACAACTACTTGTCCTTTATTCCTGTAATGTGTTTTATGTTGTAACACACACACATACACACAAATGTTTCATTTTATTGTAAACATAAGCTGGGGCATTATCAGTTTTTATTTGTATCGGTATACCCATTACAGTCCTTGTTTCTAATAACTGTGTAATTATAGGATCAGCCTTTTCAGAACTTAAGGCAGATGCCCATTGAAATCCAGAGTATGTATCAATAGTGTGATGAATATATTTTAATTTTCTAAATTCTGCTAAATGAAATACATCCATTTGCCAAATTTCTTTTCTTTGTGCACCTTTAGGATTAGTTCCTGCAAGTAAAGGAACTTGATTATATAAAGAATGTAGCACGAATTCTAATTGGTCTTAATAATAAAAACCTGGAGTCAGATATTGGGATAAATGCTGAAAGATCAGAGAAGTAAAGGAGAAGCCAAAGTCACCTGTTACCTCCATGACTCCTCAGACTAAAAAGGGGTGAGATCCTGTCTCCACCCACCTTATATTACTGTCTTCACCTCCCTAGTGTTGGGATTAAAGGTGTGTGCCACCACTGCCTGGCCTCTATGGCTAACTAGAGGCTGGCTCCACACTCTGGCTCCACACTCTGATCTTCAGGCAAGCTTTATTTATTAGAGCACAAATAAAATATCACCACAAAAGAACAAACAGTAGAGGATTTTTTTTTTTCTTAGCCTGTTACCAAGTAACGGAAACTTTTTTTTCCTTAAGTGTAGGGAGCCGCCATTCTAAGATGGTGCTGGCTTCCTGGTAGCCCAGCTGTAAACAACTCCATATTTGGCTATGCTCTGGGGACTACGTGTCATGTGACCCGAGCATGCACAAGTATGGTAATCGACCTTATGTCCTCAGCCTATCCTGTGGCTCCCCGTGTTCGCATTCTGGCGGGATCCAATCACAGTACGGCACGTTTGCCTGATTCCCTATATAAGCAGCTGCAATTTAGTTCTCGGGGCCCCTCACCTCCCGCTCTCCCTTAATCAAGAGGCGCTCCAATAAAGTGTGATCTGAGAAGAATCCTCGAGTGTGGTTGTTCTTCCTCGCTGGCCGAGGAGCTCGCCGCACTTAAGCCCCTACTATTAACATGTTTCTTAAGAAATTCTGAATCTTCCAACATATTTCCTATCAATGATTGATCAGTTTCTTCTTTTCCTCTTGCTAATGGTCCAGGCAACCTAGTATGATACTGAACGTGGGTGATATAAAGTGGGCAGCCCGTTCTCCAACTGCCAGTTGTAGTTATGCAGACAATAAAGTCAATTCTGAACTATCAGGATGAGTTCAGCAGTTCCTATATACAATACAACCCTTTCTGCATTCTGAGAATCAGTAATTATGTTAATAGATTCATTAAAGTGTAATAAAACCATTAGAATGGCATATAACAATGACTTTTGAGCTGAAGTATATGGACTTTGCACTATTTTACTTATGTTTCCTGCTTTGCAACCAGTCATTCCTAATTTTTGTTTGTTTGTTTTTTCGAGACAGGGTTTCTCTGTGTAGCTTTGCACCTTTCCTGGATCTCACTCTGTAGACCAGGCTGGCCTCGAACTCACAGAGATCCACTTGCCTCTGCCTCCCGAGTGCTGGGATTAAAGGCGTGCGCCACCACCACCCGGCTCTAATGTTTTTGCATCAGTATAGAATGTAAGAGCCCTAGGAATATGTGCTGTTTTCACTATGCAGGGAAGAATCCATTCAGTTTTTTTATAAACTGAAGTCCCTTATTTTTTTTGATATTTGTTGTTAATTTCTCCTAAAAAATTACAAGTTCTTTGCCAATCATCATTAATCACCATGCTTGCACAATTTCAGCATTAGTATAGGGTCCTACTATCTCAGTTGGATCCATTCCTGACAACTGACCAATTCAAACACCTTGTCTATATAGCTTGTCTTTAACTTTTAATTGTGAGCTAGGAAAATCTATTCTAAAAGATTACCCTCCCTAGTCCAGTAGGGGAATGATTGGAAGGTAAAATTACTAAAATACATTCAGTTGTGAACCAAACCAGCTGTGGAAATCTGCAGGAACTCCCCCAACAGGTGACAAATGGCCTAACTCAAATGGGTCAATACAAAATGAAAAAACCCACAAGTTCCCATCCAGGGAAGGTCAGGTATGGCTGGATCCAGGAACACTAACCGAAATGAGGCCTAATGGTACACACTTGGCATCCCAGGAACTTAAGAGGACCACAGTTCCTCAACCAATCTGGGCTATAGAGTGAGCGAAAATCCATTCTCAGCGATGTTGAGAAACCCTGTCTCAAAAGTAAACAAACACACTGGGTGGGGGGTGGGGGAAGCAGAGGCACTCGCCTTTAATCCCAACACTAGGGAGGATCTCGGTGAGTTTGAGGCCAGCCTGGACTACAGAATGAATTCCAGGAAAGCTAGGGCTACAGAGAGACCCTATCTCAAAAAAAAAAAAAAAAAAAAAATCCCAGCGGCTCTACCGTCAGCATCTTTCTTCTGTCTCCTGGGAGGTCTCAGCTTTCCAGAATGGGGAAGAAATGGTCCATAATCCCTGCCCGAGCTGCCAGCCCTGTTCCTGGAAAATGCCCAAGGACTAAGGCTCATCATGAGGCATTCCCGCAGCCTGGGATGGGGGCAGCCCCTTTCTTTGAGGAGGCTTGGGCTGTCCTGATCAGATGACCAGTCTCAGAGACTGGGCACTTGGGGCCATGACACCCATGTCCGAACCCGCCAGGCTAGAAGTGGGGAGACCCCAGTACCAGAGGCCAAGCCAGTACACTTCTCAGATGCTCAACACCAGGATTCAGGATGTCTGAGCCCTGGGAGTACGGAGGGAGGGGGGCCCTGTCCCTCTGTCCATCAGGGATTCCCAGTGGAGGCTGTGGGAGTGAGTGGTCACCCCAGGCACACTGAGAGGAAAGCCTGGGCTATTTGCTATGTCCGGACAACCAGATGCCACTGTAAAATGGAGGAGAGGTGCTCACAGACAGGAGGAGCGGAGAACACGAGGAGCCCTCGCAAAAGGAGGTCTTCTAGCCCAGGGGCCCAGAGTGCCGACTAGAAGGAACCCAGAGCCCCCAGGGAGAGGACAGCCAAGGCCTGGCCCTGCTGCACGTGAGGCGGCCCTGGCGCTGAGGCTCTCCCCTGGCCACATCAACCAGCCCCACCTTTGGCACTGTCTCCCTGTCCCCAAACACGCCTACTTGCTGTGCCCAGCCAGGACAGGATGGTGGCGCCTCTGTAGGTGCTGCTGTCGGTAGGGAGGTGCCCTTTCTCCAGAACGCCCACAAGCAGGGTCAGTTACCACCCACCCCTAGAGGTCACAGGGACACCGCACACACACCCAACTCTCATGACCAAAAGTCCAAGCATGGAGCGTGGGTGTCTGCACCAGACAGCCTCAGGGACTTTGCACGCCTGCTCTGGCTCCTATGACCTCCCGGGATGCCTGTCCACGGCTTTCCGGTCTGTTTAAGCAGGACTAGGGTGTGGTCAGAGGTCAGCCTGACGTGAGGCTCGAGCGCCGGGATTCAGATTCCACCTCCTGGAAGCCAGGCCTGCGGACCCCAGGTCATCGATTCTGCCTGCCCTGCTTCTAAGCAAGCGGGCGGAGAGCAAAGGGAACACCCACAGCTTCACGCTGGGAAAACGAGGCGGGGCCTGCTCCGCCCCGCCCAAGCCACGCCCAGCTTCCCGCCCACAGCCACGCCCCCCGGACGTCACAAAAAAGGCCCCCAAAGCCGCCGCTGCTGGGCCGCACCGCGCAGCCCTGCCCTGCCCGCCACCCAGCACACAGGCATCCGCCGAGCTCTTCTGGCCGGAGGCGACGGCGGCCTCCGGGGCTTCGGAAACGCAAGGCGCCTGCGCGGCAGGGCGGGGGAAGAAGACTACAGTTCCCGGCGTGCCCCGCGGGCGGGCGCGCAGACATATTCCGGACCCGGTGGAGGCGTCGCACAGGCGCATTCTAGACCCGGCAGTGGCGCGCAGGCGCATTTCCGGCCCGGCGGCAGCGGTGCGCAGGCGCATTCGAGGCCCGGGTGTGGCACGCAGGCGCATTCGGGACCCGGTGCCGGCGCGCAGGCGCATTCGAGGGCCAGTGGCTGCTGCGCGCAGGCGCATTCGG